TTTAAATACAGTCCCAAAACCACCCGAACCTATGGCTGACATCTCTATGAATTGGGTTTTATAGTTACCATCAGTAATTTGAGGTGTATTTTTATTTTCACCAAATGTAGTCATTTGTCTAAATAAATTCCTAACTTTATTCATATAATTATTATCATTTGACTTATTAATTAAATTATCAAAATTATTATCTAGTTAATTATTGCTTTCATTTGATGTCGCTATCATTTCTTCATTTCTTAAGATAATTGTATTATAACTTATTTTGCATTCATTGGCGTAAAAGTCGATAAAATTATTATAATTTGTTTCATTTATTTTGTGATCTTTTAATACTTTATGTATTTTATTATTAAATAAAACACAAATGAAATCATTATTTGTAGAATTAATCCACGAATTAATTTGTTGTATATTTTGCACGTTATGTTCGTATAGTATTAGTTTAGGCGTCGTTTCAATCATTTCATTATTATTTTCAAAATATTTTCCACAAAAATATAAACCATTTGTAGTCAGAAAATATGTCCCAAAATTAGTACAACTGATTGTTTTCACATTATTAATATTGACTATTATTTGTGGTATCAATACTTCATCTATTATATTATTTCCTAACTTATTGTATTCATTATAACCCCAACTCAAGACATCACCGCTGGATGTGATGGCAAACGAAGAGAAATTACAACAATAAATGGATTGAATTTTATAGTTATTAATTAATTTAATTTTAATTGGAGTTGAAATATATTTACAACTTTTTCCGCAACCAAGTTGTCCAAACTGATTGCCACCCCAGGCATAGACCCGGCCATCACTTGCGAGGGCCAGTGTGTGGTTAAACCCACAACTAATTTGTATAATGTTTTTATTATTAAAATATGTTATTATCGCCGGTTTCTTATAATAGAGATATGGTATGCTATGGCTATAATATTTTTTTCCACCTCGGGCCATTGTCCCAATTGATTAAAACCAAGACCATATATTATATGTTTATAATTCACTGCTAACACAAAATCCATTCCATTGACAAAGTATTGTATGTTTTGATGACATAATTCTGGGATCAGTTCTGGTGATAGTATAGGAGTGTTGTGTCCAAAACCCAGACATCCAAATAAATTACTGCCAAATCCATAGACCATATCATCATTTGTAACAATTAATACATTATATTTCTTATCCCAATCCATAAAAATATGTAATTTTATAATTTTTTCTTTAATATTTAGAGAGATTTTATCACAAATTGGAAACCTTTCTAATAATTCACACATTTTTAAAATAATTATAATATAATATTTTATTTTTTAGTTCACACTCTATTGTAAAAATATTGCTATAAAATCTTAATAATATAACAAATTCCAAATTACTTATAGTAATAAAACTTTTGTATTATTTGATAACATTTGTAATAATCAATGAAAACCAATGGAAACGCAGATTTAATCTAAAAGTCACTTAAAAACACAAATTAAACGCTTTTATTATGTTACATAAAGTTCTCAACAAGCGTATTTTTAATATAAAAATATGTTAAATGTATATAAAATATTATTTACTAGTCTACATAATTAAATTTTATAACAGCTTTAAACATGAACATTAAATTATTGTTATATTATTAGATTCATCATAAATTATAATTACAACTATACAAATTGTAATAATAGTTTATTATGTTTCAAACAAAGGGGCAAAATTATTTATTTGATTTCTTTAATTTTAACAACAAATTGATTTCAAAGTCAAGTTTTATATAAAACACAAATTTTAATATAATAACTAATTTAATTTTTGTATTAATTACTAGCAGCCAATTAGTGACCATTTTCAAATAATGTTCAAAATTCTATATTTGGATTTTGTGATACAATTATCAATACTTTACATATTGCTAAAGATATGGCTAAAAATCTGATCGTCGATTAGAGAGAGAGAGAGAGAGAAAGAAAGAAAGAGAGAGAGAGAGAGNAATAAAGTTAGGAATTTATTTAGACAAATGACTACATTTGGTGAAAATAAAAATACACCTCAAATTACTGATGGTAACTATAAAACCCAATTCATAGAGAGATGTAAGAATATTCTGTTAGTCATTAAACAGACAATAGGCTCCCAAACGCTCGAAGCTGTTATGGGCTGTGTATGGGAGGGACAGAAACGGTGGACACATCCGTGTTATTTAATTTAGACGTTAAAAATGCATAGAAAAATGAGTTATCATTAGATTTAAGTGCATTTAACACTAAATTATATTCCGTATCATTAATGACAACACTCTTATCAATAGACCACTCGTTATATTCAGCCAACACTTCCCGACACTCAGGCCTATTATTCCACAGGGGGTACGACACCATTGACTGCAATATACGATGTAGGAGTACGACCGATCCATTAAGCACGTGGTCACGCGGATAGCCATCTAGTGTACTTAAAACAAAAAAATTAATAATTAATAATATAACCGGTAAAGCTTAATTTATACAATACCTGACATGTAGCGCCAGATCAAACAATTCGGCCCCAATTTTTGCCAGGCTATAGACATCTGACTTGTGGCCATACATCGGCGGCTTTGTGTCCACTTCGGGCGCCTGATAGTGGACAGTACCTACATCGCGTGTATGCCACTGATCGGTTCTATAGTGCACATTTGGGTCGTGTAGAGTGGCCAGACCAAAGTCACCTATCTTAATAAATCTCCACTCTCCACTTAGATGAGACACTTGTATGTTAGGAAGGGGTAAATTAATCAACACGTTATTCGGATTTAGATCCCGATGTATTATCTGAGGCTTCACATCGTGTAAATATTGGACACTCTGTAAAAGTTCCCGAAATATTTCGCACGTAATGTAATACTCGTAGACATTCATCGGTTCGGCCGGTGATTGGCGGCCAAATGTCAGCTGTTTGTCGGCCAACACTTTGGCCAGACTTTGCGGGCAATACTCCAACTGAATGTACAGCAGATTGTTGTCGAGCCATGAGTGGTAATACTGTACCACATATTGTGAGCGCACTTTTGCCAAACATTTTACCTCTCTTAGATCTCGATGTTTGTTTTGATCATTGGTCGCTAAAACATAAATATTAAATAGACAATAAATATATAAATAACAATATGCTTAATTTTACCAATAGTTTTAATGGCGTACACCTGGTCGTCTAATTTATGGACCACATTATGGACAGTGCCGTACGAACCCCTTCCTATATATTCCAGTTTTTTAAAATGATCCTGGTAATACGTTTTGCTTGATTTGATGCTACTGTCTATTATAAATATTTTATTATAATTTATTATAAAATCTACATTGTTAATGTATAGTTATAAAGTACCATGTTCTGAATTATCAGTGTACGCTAAACCGACATTCGACTGTAGTTGTTGTGCTGATTGAAGTTGTTCAGAGTTTACAGAGTCTATGGCAAAACAAATAATTAGTTTAATAGTTTAATTTTATACCCTGATAAATTTACCATTGATTTGCAATTGGCTATAGACTAAGCTATGGCTGACCGTCGGTTGTAATAACTCGTTGGATTGAGTTGTGTTGGAGTCGTTTAGACTAATTGTATTGTAAGTAATTTGGTATTCATTGGCGTAAAAGTCGATAAAATTATTATAATTTGTGTCAATTATATTGTCGTAGTTTAATATTTTGTATATTTTATCGTTCATTAAAAGACTTATAAAATCATTTTCTTTGATGAATGAATTAATTTGTTGCATATCTTGGATGTGATGTTCACTTAGTATTTGTTTCGGACTTTTTTCGATCATTTGTTTATTATTTTTATAATGTTTTCCACAAAAATATAAACCATTTGTTGTCAACAAATAAGTCCCAATTTGAGTACAACTAATTGTTTTCACAGTATTTATATTTGACATCAATCGGGGTTTCAATACTTTCTCATCGGTTATATTGTGTCCCAATTTGTTATCTTTATTCTCACCCCAACTGAAGACATGTCCATCGGATGTGATGACAAATGAAGAGAATTTGTGATTATAAACGCATTGAATTTTATCATAATTCATGAATTTTAATTCAATTGGATTAGATATATAGCGATCATTACCATCACGAACTTGATTGCTTCGATTCGCACCCCAGGCATACACCCGGCCATCACTTGTGAGGGCTAATGCGTGGCGACTACCACAAGTGATTTGTACAATATTTTTATCATTGAAATATTGTAATAGCTGTGGTTTCACACAATAATTATTATTATTAATATAACCTAGAGCCATTTGTCCAGCTGCATTGTTTCCAAACCCATAAATCTTATTCATATCATTCACTGCTAACACAAAATCACATCCATTGACAAAGTATTGTATTTTTAGATGACATAATTCTTGTATCAGATGTGGTAATAGTTCTGATAGTTTGATGGGTCTGTTGTGTCCCAAACCCAGACATCCATCTCTATTGTTACCAAAACCATAGACCATATCATCGCTTGTAATGAATAATACATTGTATTCATCGGCAAAATCAATAAATACATGTAGTTTTATAATAGTTTTCTTAATTTCTATTGAAACTTTGTCCAAAGTTGAATATTTTTGACATAAATCGCCCATTTTTACATGAAGTATAGTTAGAATATACGTCTTATTTAAAAATATTATAATTGAACTATGGAAATTAGATAATAATTTTTTTAAATATAAAATAATTAACACTTTTAGTAAGAATATGCGTAATGAAGCATATCTGTGATATTTGATGTATCGATAAACACATAAACACTTTGAATAAAACTCTTTAAATATTTGTAATAATCAGTGAAAACCAATGGAAGCACTGATTAATAGCAAACGATAACATAAAATATATTATACTAACAAAATACTATTTAAAATTATAATCTCGTGATTGTATGTTCAATATTATCATATTTGTTATGAATTAATTATTAATTTAAACTTTATATTATGAATAAAGTCAGTTATAAGTTAATTAAAATTGAATAATACATTTATTTATAGACTCTTTTAGGTTTCCCATATATTTCAATTCAAAAATATCTCAACATAATATGTATTATACATATTATGTCGATATGAACATCACTTCACGTATACAACAAATTAATTTATATGAAAAATTATTTTATAGGTCTTTTAATGAATGATAAAATATATTTCATTTCAAATCAACACAATATCATAGAAACAAATTACAATTATTTTATCTACTTTTGCGACAATAAATGTCACAAAACATATAGTACTTAATTTGATAAAAGGTAATAAAAATAATAATATTCACTTCAAATGAAAGTAAAAGTAAATGATGGTTACGAGATTAAATAAGTAATTGTAATTAAATATATAAAAATTATATTATTAATAATTTAAACATAAATCGACAATAATCATTGTTTAAAAAAATTAATAATTATAATTAACATTAATAGTGTTTATTAAGTGTTAAACATTTAAAATTTAAATTTTAAATAGTGTTTCATTTTTTGCTCAAAATATTTGTCAACAGATAGTTCTGTGAATAAAAAAAAATGTTAATTTATTATATTATATAATTTATATAAGACATTCATTTTATTTCATTTATAAATCACTTAATAATTTCATTTTAATACAATATTGTATTTAATTCTTTGCCTGAAATTAATCAGTGTTTCCATTGGTTTCCACTGATTATTACAATTCCTATCAAAAGTCTTTTAAATACAATACATATTTTTTAGTGAAACTACAAAAATAAATTATTGATCAATTTTACAATTTAGTGATAATTTTAAATTAATTATTAAAATTAACTACTTTTTTGATATAATTTAAAACTATTTGTTTTGTTGTGATATAAGTTTTGGAAAAAATCCGATAAATAATAATTATTATTGAAAAATGTGTGAATTATTAGAAAAGTTTTCAATTTGTGACAAAATTTCAGCAAATATCAGAGAAAATGTAACAAAATTACACATTTTTATGGATTGGGATAATGAATATAATGTATTGTTTGTTACTATCAATGATATGGTCTATGGATTTGGAAATAATTTTAAAGGATGTCTGGGTTTTGGACACAACAATCCTATACTATCACCACAACTGATACCACAATTAAGTCATCAAAACATACAATACTTTGTCAATGGATGTGATTTTGTGTTAGCAGTGAATGATATGAATATGATATACGGCTTTGGAAATAATGAATGTGGACAATTAGCCCGGAGCCAGAGTTACCATGATAGTCTGACACCAGAAATAATACCATATTTAAATGATAAAAATATTGTACAAATCAATTGTGGTTCATATCACACACTGGCCCTCACAAGTGATGGTCGGGTATACGCCTGGGGTTTGAATTTGTTGGGACAGATCGGTTGTGGCGATAATATTGAGTTTATTTCTACACCAATTGAAATACAATTTAGTAATTATTTTAAAATACAATCCATTTATTGTTGTAATTACTCTTCATTTGCCGTCACATCCGATGGACATGTGTTCAGTTGGGGTAATAATAGGAGCCATAGATTGGGACACAATATAATCGATAATAAAGTATTGAAACCCCGATTGATATCAACCATAGATAATGTGATAACAATTAGTTGTAGTTATTTTGGGACATATTTTCTGACAACAAATGATTTATATTTTTGTGGAGAAGATTATAACAAAAATATTGAAAAAAGTCCGAAACAAATACTATCTAAACATCACTTTCAAAATATACAACAAATTAATTCATGGATTTATTTGAATGAATTGCAATTCGTTTGTGTTTTAATAAATGATAAAATTTATAAAATTTCAAAAGAATACAAAATAATTGATACAAATTATAACAATTTTACTGACTTTTATGCCAATGAATGCCAAATAACTTATAATACAATTGTTTTAAAAGAAGTGAATCAAAAAACAATTTTAACCACAAATGATAGTAAAATCAAAACGAATGATACAATCAATGATATGTCAAGTAATGATAAAAATGAAACAAATTTTTCAAAATTATTAAAACGAATAGAAAGTAAAGTAAAATTTTCTACAAAAACAAATCGTAATTATATTTAAACTTAAATAATCACAAAAAAATTATAATTTAACTTTAAAGAAAATTTTAATTTTTACATAAAAAGAAACTATCTGTGAAATCAAAAAATATTGGACAACAACAACAGCCGCTACAGTCGAAGCACGGTGTAGGTGACACTTACATTTCAGAACAAGGTATTAATTTAATTATGTATGTACTTAACTGTATTATAATAATTATTTTAGGCGTCAGTAATCCAGAAGGGGTGACACTTTGGGTCCGAACGTCAATCTCAAGAATGTTCAAACAATTACATGAAAGTTAGCGTTTTGTTACATAAAATGCAAATACAATTAATAGCAATTGGTCATCCTATATAACATAAATACAGTGGCCCTCTCACGGGTTTAGTTGATTGCAAACAAATGTTTTATAAAATTAAATCAATGTTACAATAATAATTTTTTTGCCTTAAATAACCATTTTAGTTTTTTGTTAATTATGATAAAAATTGACGTTTGCTGTAATAATTATCTGCAAATAAAATTAAATATTTTTATTAATCAAATTAATAGTCATTTTACAGAATAAACAATTCAATTATTGTGAATTAAATATTAAAAATGAAAAAAGTTATAAACATTTTTCAAATAATCAGGTAATTAATGTTTGTTGTAAATATTTGCTAACAGTTGGTTCTGTGAGTCAATCAATTCAAAGTCTATTACCGTATTACGCCGCATATAGGTGCATGCACTTATAAGTGAATTTCACAGATTTTGCATGTCACCAAAACTACCGCACCTATATCCGGATATAAGTGCACCCCTTGTGTAAAAATCACATATAGGTGCACCAAAATTTATTGGTCAATTTTTAAAAAAAAATGTTAATAAGTTAATGAGTAAATTATACATTTATTAATACTTAAAGCAAATATATAAATATTTCATGTATCTGATCAATTTGATTATTAGAATTGATGTATCAATTGAAAACATGTCCATTGTTTGAAATATTTTACACAATTTTACTCAGCCTTTATGAAATTCACTGATAAAGTTTTATAAAAAAATACACATATATTTCAAACATTTAAACGCGCTTTAGTGTTAAAAGTTTAATTACAGATCCTACGATTTTCATTTCAATGTATATGGATTTTTCAACTAAAATGTAAAACTTGTCTAAAAAACTACCGCACCTATATCCGGATATAGGTGCACCCCTTGTGTGAAAACTCACATATAAGTGCATGCACCTATATGCGGCGTAATACGGTAATAGACTTTGAATTGATTGACTCACAGAACCAACTTACCTATATCCGGATATAGGTGCACCCCTTGTGTGAAAACTCACATATAAGTGCATGCACCTATATGCGGCGTAATACGGTACTAGGAATTTTTATAATAAGAATTTTAAAGAAATGTTTTGAAATTAATTATTATTTAAATTAATAATTACATAATTAATAAAATGTCCATTATGTTTATGTAAAGTGTAGTTCCATTTTTGACAACACATTCTCTATCAGTAAATATTTATTAAACAATTAAAAACTTATTTAACAAGATTTTCAATAATTTCAGCGGCCTTTTCATTACAATCCGAGTTTTGTATGCGTTTTGAAGCCACAGATAATCTGTGCTTCAAATCCTTATCATTCAATAGGCGTTCAATAGAGTCAAGCAATTCGTGCTCTGAAACGGTGTGCGGATTAAGTCTAATCCCAAATCCCTTTTCCATAACTCTCTGTGCGTTATCGTATTGATCGGCAAATAATGGCATTATTATCATTGGTTTACCACAACTGAAT